CAACTTTATGAAAAATGCTGGAATTTTTACTGTATCAGTATCGTGCATTTTATTTGGGTTTCTTAACCGAATGAGCGGACCTACTGTTTTCTTAACGTTCTCGTACATCATTCGGATAATGGAAGCGCTAGGTGGTGCCGCCTTCATCACAACAGCTTTCAGCATCATAGCGCAGGAGTTCCCCTTGACTGTTGCTTCTGCTTTTGCCACTCTCGAAACTTTCTTCGCGCTTGGTTTGATAGCGGGACCCGTAGTCGGGGGCGCTTTGTACGAGTTGGGAGGCTTCACTCTGCCCTTTGTGGTGCTAGGCTGCCTCTTGATGGTCGCAGCAGTCGTGGTGTGGTACTTCTTACCTGTGGAAGGTAGTCGCACCAGATCAACTTCAAGATACTCGGTGTTTTCGCTTCTTAAGAAACCAAAAATATTTCTTTACGCTTTCACCACAATGTCGGGGTCTCTCAGCGTTGGCTTCTTGTTTGCAACTCTGGAGCCCCACATACGTCCGTGGAATCTCACTCCTCTCGAGATCGGCCTAATCTTCGTTTTAGACGGCTTCGCGTATGTCATTTCTGCGCCGATTTGGGGCCTTTTATGCGACAGATGTCTTCCCGAGCGAGCTGCTACAACGATAGGGGCTTTAATAGCCACGGTAGCTTTCTTGCTGTTGGGTCCTTCTCCAATTTTACCCATAAAAAACAGCTTACCTCTGTGCATCTGTGCCCTGGTGGTTCATGGCCTTGGCTTTGGGGCCCAGTTTGTGGCCACTTTCAGTGGAATGCAGAAGGAAACCGTCGAGGCTGGACTCCCGGATGATCTCACAACCTACGGCCTAGTGTCCGGACTATGGAATTCTTCTTTTGCACTTGGCGCCTTCATCGGGCCATCAATCGCCGGGGTCATGTTGGACACCATTGGATTTGGTTGGGGCACGTCCATCATTGCCTTGCTTCACCTATTTGTGGCCTTTGTCACAATCTTTCTATCCTGCTACTACCGCTACTGTCGTGACGAAGATCTTTCTGAAGGAACGTCTCGTTTTCAACTGTCTGTAAGAAAAAGTGAATCTGCCGACTCTCCGCATGACAGCGGCTGCAACTCAACCCTCGTATCTCGCGAGTATGTCGCCATTGGTACAGTTGATTAAATTATTACGCTTAGGATATTGTAACAATGGCTTTGCATATTTTCACTTTTTGCCTTATGCCTCACAGCCGAAGAAAGGCTGTCGCAAGTCAAGTACTTTATTAGTTTCGCAATTTCGTAAAGTGATTCGTAAGAATCGCTTAACGAAATATCACTTCCAGAATCACGTCTAAGATTTCTGATATATAAGAATCGTAAGAAACACTTTACGAAATATCACCTCCAAGATTTCTCCGGATCACCTTCAAGATCACCTAAGAATCACCTCCAGAATAGTGATATATTGCAACGAAAGGAGGGGGAGGCTGTGTAGGATTCCCTCATTTAATAACAGAGCCGCGGCCAGAGTACAGACTCTTCGTGATGGATCACTGTCTATGGTAGGACCGAGGCTGTTAAATGCCCTGCCAAAAGCGCTGAGAGGAGGGTTATAAGACGAGCAGGCAACCAGCAACACGTAGGGATCACGAAGCAATGGAGATGTGATGGATATTGGCAAATTTATACTATTGAAGAGAAAAAGATATGATTTTGTTCAATTCTATTTCCTGTTCAAGACAACTTTCAACTTTATATGTAATATCAAATAATTTCATAACTAACCAAAATTTTGGCCGTTGGCAGGGTGTTGTATAATGCAAAATAATGGTTCTGGCGGGTCAGCGAGCCAGTGATGGTCGCAAAACTACCTTAGAAAAACTGATCTATCTAAAATGGAGCCAAAGTTCATCTACTCTTTTCCCAAGTTGCCACTACCATGATGGGCAATACACACACATCTGTAGAGGCACTTTTATAAAAATGCGCTTGTAAGTTGGTTGTTGTGAACCCTCATTTTGCGCAGGATGGGTACATGAATCAACCGCAAAGATTTTATATGATGTCAGTTTTGGACCAATCTTCTGCGACTGTGAATGAGTACACTCGGGGGAATGAGAGAGACTGTCCAAAAAAGTGATGCACTCATTACTCTCGTGTGGGTGATGCACTTATTACTCTCGTACTCTAAATTATATTATCGTGACCCACTTGCAGAGAGTCAGTGATAAAAGGGTGAATCTGGGCTACGTCTGCTCTCTGATTTTGTCAATAGTCGTACAACTTGACCGTCTCGTTATAATTATATTCATTAAATGACACTAGGATCAATTAAATTATTAGGAATATTATTAGTGTAAACTCCAATTTTAGACATATCTCTCATTTAGTGCCAAGGGTAAACTATAATATCTTTAAGATATTAAGAACTTAATTTTATCTATTTATGGCTGTTATATTTGTACTTTTCCATAAAGAAAAGTAATAAAAATGAATGTGGCAATGTTACTGTAATAGATAGGTCTGTGATGGAGCCAAGTGTTTCTCTACCCGCGTCTTTCAGTCAATATTTGTTGTTATATCATCACTTATATGTTTGCTGTGGCAGCCGCGGCAGGGTTCGCACTGTCGCCGCATGTACATGAACCGGTGAGCATGGCGCATCCGGTGATGCATTACAATGCAGTGCACTAACCACTGGGCAGGGTGGCCCAGTGGTTAAAGTTCCGAGTACCAGGATTGGAGCAGAGAGGTGCGGGTTCGATCCCAGCTCTGTGCGACAGTTTCTGGTCAGAATCGGCGAGGAGGCCGGGCGGTTAAGCACAGCAGAATTGTAGCAGTGAGTTGCGAGTTCGAGACCGCAAAATGCTGTGAATGTTCTGCGAGTTAAGAAGCGGCGACAGGCCTTCGGCCTAATAACGCTGAAACCGCTATTATTAACCGCTATATCCTACTGCAGCCGCTGATAATAGCGCTAGCTTAAGGTGCTTATACACGAGGCGAATAGTTGAGTCGATTAGTTGCGTCGACTATAATTTGTGATGATTGGCGTGTTCAGAGGTAACTAGCTGGTGCATTGTACGCAGAGCAACTCGAGTTGTTTTGAAGCAGTCGAGTCACTCGAGTGTGCCCAGTAGCGGCCCGGCCTTCATATACTGAGCATAGTTGCGTCGTTCTCTCTCTTGCCCACTGCAGCGCGCACAGCTGTCGAGCCCTCGCTTGCCTCCACCGTGCACACCTTTACTCGACAACTCCCAACGTCGCACTGGCGCCGGCGCACTGTATTGAAAACACTCTCCTCGTGTATGGGCTCTCAGCCTGCAAAACTGTAGTCGACTCAACTAATCGACGCAACTAATCGCTACGCGTATAAGCACCTTTAAGGTGCTTATACGCGGGGCTTGTATTCGCTCCGAGTACTCGGTGCGAGTCCAGTTTTCTCGGCTGAGAGCCTATACACGAGGAGAGTATTTGGTTAACAGTCCGCAGGCGCCAGTGCGTTGTTGGGAGCTGTCAAGTGAGGTCTGGGTGGTGGAATATGCAACGTAACGATATTGACGCGTTTGAGGAAGCACTTGGTGGCATAGTTGCCACACTTTCTGAGGAAGTGTAAAACTTTGTAGATCAGCGTAGAGTGTGGGTGAGAGACATAATAAGGTCTAGTTCAACTTTAAAAACACTACTTTCTCAATTTGTTCTTGTTGGAATATTCATCGCGACGTACGTTCCACAGTAGACACAGTACTTTTGGAATATCTATAAGAAAAGTTGAAAATCATCTAAACAACTCTTGACGTTCTTAGAACCGTCGTCGTTGGGATAAGACACAGTTCATAACATTGAAGAATGCAGTGAGGCCCAAGCAGGATACCGAGTGGCACACGAGTATTCACTACGACTACCGCAGCCCAACTAGACCGCACATAACAACTTGCACTGCTTCGAGCGACAATGCATCAGCTACTCGCATACGAATACGTAATAAATCAACATAATGTTCGCAGTGCGAGTACTCGGAGCGAATACAAGCCCTGTGTAGAAGCACCATTTGCCTGGGCGGCTGAACTTGCATAGTATATCCACCTTCCGATACTCGTTCATCTTACATTCGTATTCGTACAGGTATAACAAAAGTCATAAACACAGTTTTTTATTTTTGCCGCCTAATCCCGCCTGCTCTTTATTCACTGGAGTATTTTTCATATTTTTAATAACGATCATGTGTTTTGTTTACTGCATATAGTGTCCCAACTGCAGAGCGTCCCACCTCCACATCAACTCACCTCCACGAACCAGCTTGGCACCACAGATAACAGTTGTACTTGGAGCTGCGGAGGGGAAGAGGGCGAGAGATTGTACCTCCAACTTTGGCTCCAGAGACCAGTCTACTGCACAGTGCACATGTGTCATAAGTTCACTAAGAATGGAAGGTTTTTGTTGAGGTTGAACTCATTTGAGTTTTTGTTAAAGTTGAACATTTTGAGGTTGAACTCATAAGGCGTGAGAGGAATTAAATTTTATTACGAATGTACATTCAGCCTCCACCTCTACTCAACACCTACGAAGAATCCTAGCTCCTAGACTAGTTCACGAAATTCCTTGATTCGTGTACGAGTTGCTTTCCTGAAAAATAACGTCACGCTCATTTTAATCAGTAGATTGCAACAAATGCAGCGAATTTTCTTCTATCACGAGATATGGAAGGGATGAAACCTTTCGTATTTAAGAGTTATGTGCTTGTAGTCATGCAGTCTCGATTGTATATGCAGGACTTGTACAATATTTACAGCGTTTGTGTGCTCGTGCATGCGAATCAATTCCTAATCTATGTATCGTTTATTATTGCTATCATAGTTATACCAAAATGTGCATTGTTTCAGATGCAAGTCCAAGAAATTCTGTGTCTATTTCTGCATAGGAAGTCTATATAGTGTAATATTTTATGCTTTTTGAGTGTCAGTGCCTCGCATATTCAGGTCATTTTATGTGCTGTTGAAACACGAATTAATCAACAGTCGTGTGTTGCTCTCTTCTAATATTTATAACTGCTGCCACTCAATGATTCTGGACTTTAATCTGTTACATAACTTATGCCTGCTGTACTATTAGAAGTACTTTAGTACAAATAATATGAAGACACTTTCATTAAATTAGATTTCCTAAAGCTAATATCGTGATTGAAATTCTTTTTGAAAGCTTGTCTTAAAATTTGGTAAATCTAAAACTACACTCTGATGTTTTATTTATATCGAATGTATCTCATTTAAAAGCGGATGTCTGATGGCATCTAAGCTGTCAATTTAGTTGCTACATTTGATGGTGCTATTTCATTATTTCGAAATTTATGGATTCTTTAGGCATTAAATAATGTGAAGTTTGTTATTATTCCGCGAAATATTATTTGCCATTAAATAGGTTTGAGCGTTAGTTGGAACCAGGTGTTGAGTATTAAGTGTGCTGAGCATGTCAAGTTCTCACTAGTCTGATAACATTCTTGAGTTGTATATTGTTCTTAGTGATGATGATCACTGATGGTATCAATAAAAGCGTCATGAGGCAAGAAGAAATTTGCACTGCTGAAAAGTATTTGATGACCCGGTGACAGAGAGTTAGGTAGTTTCTTGTTTAAAGCCGGTTACACAATTGATCCGGGAAACAATTGTTTCCAGCACCTTACTTTCATTGAAATTTCATTGAAAGTTTGCAAGTTCGCGTGTTACAGAAATCGACAACGTTTCTTCATAAGAGCCATAACATTTTATTATTTCACTTATGTCATCTATATTGTTGCCACTGATGTGTTATCTCTAATGGTAAGAATTTTTCAATGGTTGAACTATTCTACATACCTAATCGACACGAATTATTTTGTAGCTATCGGATGGTACAGCTTGCTGTTCGGTGTTCTTGCCGAGGTGAATTACTTTGCACTCGGTCGGGATGAAAACGCAGCTGCCACGTATCAGCCCGGTCAACTAAACTATCAAAATCATTTTGTAGTTGCATTTTATTTGACGCATCCTTAACTGTATTATAAATTTTTGTGTCGTCGGCATACATGGAGCACACGCTTGACACTACTTCTGGTAAATCGTTTATAAAAGCAACGAACATAACAGACCCAAGAACACTTCCTTGCGGCACGCCACTGCGCACTGTTGCCCAGTCTGACACGGTTCCGTTAATACCGACACGTTGTCGTCTGCCTACTAGGCAATCTCTGATCCAATGGAGTACGTTTCACTCTATTCCCAAAGACTTCACTTTATGCAACAGCCGCTCATGCGGAACACTGTCAACTGCTCTGGTAAAATTGAGGTACACTGCATCCACTAGTTCCCTTTCGTCCAGCAGGCAAGTCTAATCGTTCAAGGTATACAGGAGATTATTAGTGCAGGATCGGCCGGAAATAAAGCCATGCTCACAGTCTGATAGAAAATAGTTTACCGTCAAGTGATCGATAATCCACGCAACCGATTCCATCACCGTATACACAACACTTGTGAGACTGACAGGACGGTAGTTACCGGGGCTATTTCTGTC